TTTTAGTAAAAAAAATTGAAAAAATTTCGAAAATTAGCGATTTTTAAATTTGTAATTTTTTTGGAGGTTTCCCCCATTTACGGGGAACGAGGGAATTTTTTTCAATTTTTAAGGGTAATGTCTTCGACTAGATACGATTTGTGATCTTTTGACGTATCGTTGAAAGAAATCCGTTCGGTGAGAGCTGAGAAAAAGTGGTAACAGACACAAAAAAAAAAAAAAAAAAAAAAAAAAAAACACATCATAGTAAAACTAATACCTTCTCAGCTTCGCATCGAAGCAAAAAAATATATTACGTTAATGTTTGAGTTTTAATTTGTATAAAGATTCATAGACACATTAATAATTTTAACAATGTGGACATTACTCCCTCCTGTTTGGAAAGTTTTTATATTAAAATCAAACGTTTTCGGATAAAAGATTTCATAAAATTGTTGTACGCGTATTTTCGATAGTTTTATACGATTAATTTTTCTCTCTTTTAAACTACTCAACACCTTATTTGTCTAAGTATAATTTAATCAATACTCAATGTCTTCTACTTAAATTATTGATAACGCTCTAAGCGGTAAAAGTTTTCGTCTGATTTAATTGCTACAAATGTTAATAGTTTAGCGCTCAGATAATTGTCAATTAAATACTTGGAAGTTATAGAAGTTAATATCTTCGTAAGGAATTTACGTCAGACGGTTAAACGTTCGTGGACTATTTCTACACGTCCGTTGCCCAATAAAAATCAGAATATATATCGCTGTCGTCCATGCCATGCCTACTATTGTTTATTTTATTACAGTTTGGAAGTAAACGGTCCAAGGGCGGCGTTATTCGGTGGAATCAAAAAGTCGCGTACGCATAAGAACCCAACACTGCGTGAAAACTTTTTCGATTGCTCAAACTTTTACATGGGGTCAAAATTCGATTGTATTGGGCCCACCATTGATCACCGCCGTATCTTATCCTCTAGTGTTGTGTAAGTGTCGAACTTTGGGCACAAGAACTATGCGTATAGGAGTTACGGCCGATCTATTGTTTGGCATTATACTTAAACGTTTTTCATCCAACACTCTCGAGTGGAGGTACTTTATACCGTTTTTTTCCTTGCCGTTATGTCAAAGCGAAAGTAGCGTATCCAAAGTAATGGCGAATCGACCACCGCACGGTTTCTTATTGTAAATAACAATGTATTGTGCTGCGGATAAGTTCAGGACGTGTTCAATAAGTCGAACCTTGTACGGTTGGGGTAATATATTTCGGTAATATCAACGTATTTAAGTCAAAACTGAACAAGGGTCGTATGACACAAAAGCCCGAAACAATAAACTAACACTGATAAATTTAGAGCATTCTATACGCAGTGTATTACACAAAAGTTGGACCCAAAACATTAACGCAGAGGGAAAAATTTCATGGCTTGTTTTTTTTTTTTTTGTTAACTACAGTAAAATTTACATTGGTCGATGAAAACTATTATTTTCATTGTACGACATGTAATGATATTATTGTTGTACTCTATACATTTACTGCGCGTAAAATGTAATTATCACTTTTAAATGACGTCATCTCCACGCGAACTATACGGACAATACGACTCCGCTTTAAAGTGTAAAATCGGTTTGGGAGCGGTACTATTTTTATTTTTACTGTCGCTTATTGTATGTGTGTGTGTGTGTATTTAAAGTTTTACGGCTTATCTAAATTACACGACACTAAGGCAAAGCAAAAAAATTGAAGAAAAAAACGTCATTCGCAATAGTTGTTTATAATGACTGTTTAGTTCCAGTGTTAATAATTAATTAACATGCAATAGCCAACGAAACAAATAGAATCGCTTCTTACCCATTTAATTCTTTTGAAATATTCTCTGACACTTGGTTTGTCACAAAATGTTAGAGTTCCTGAAAATAAGACAATGTAATGCATTATTACCGAGTTACAACAATATTATGCAAATCTGTTTTTTTATGTATAAACGAGATTTAACGCAACAATCTGACATGATACTTTAAGTCTGCTTTCATTGTCAATACTAAAATATATGCAGACCCAACCTAAGCCACAGCACAAAAATTATTATATTCCCAACGTTGGTCATTGTTATCTGTCGATTACATTTACACAATGTTTCTTCATTGCGGTTGACCTCCACAGCTGTTGGGTCGTCAACTCGGTTTCAATTACGGACGTTTAGTGATATTTCACGATACGCATCAGTGTAAGTCGTTGTCGGTTCATAGTTAAAACATGAATGATTTTACTAGACAGATATGTGCATACTGTTACACTTGTGTACGTTATAAATAACTCTGAAATTAAATCAGACGGTTCTCACGAAAAAATTAATTAGTGACTGAATTATTTTATTGATTACAGCAAATATTGAGATTATTCACAGGATAATAAAATCGTTATGATAGATTCAAGTGGGAGATGTACTTTATAAATGAAATGTGTACAAGACATTTATTTATTATTACTATAACTATTCATCGACTTTATTGGTTATCAAATATGACTTTAATCGACACCATTGCGTTTAATGGTCTTACAAACTTTTTCCTATGGTCTCGAGTTTTTTTGCCCTCGCTAAAATAATATGCAACGTGTTGAACTCGATTTCTGATTTATTTTATCACAACAACACATTAAAGAAACAGCCGCATTTAATACCCTTAACGTTTTCCATAGGTTCACTGCCGAGATGAGCATCTCTCCTCAGCAACAGCTCCAGGCGACTAGAAAATCTTCTCTTCGTTCTACTCTAATGACAAAACACTCTGAACCTGCCGCCATCAACGATTCCCACACCGTCTACGTCACGATCTATATAAATTACTTTACAATGTGCCTAGCAGGATTGGAACGGAGGTCATAACGAATCCCATGCAAACACCGTCGTAATAATGTAAATAGAATTGTCATGAACACTAGACATAAACATGTAGAAATGCAGCAGCTCCAAGAAAACTAGACTATCCTATTTTTGAGATAATAGAATGCGAAGTGTCACCATTTAAAAAGTATTTTGTTCAATTGTCCACGTGTGGTAATTGTCAAAGAATAAATTTTTCCATCGCCATTAAATTATACGATTTTTTTTAAATTACCAAATACTAAATGACCCTAATAAGGCTGGAATAGCAAATTAAAGTGAAATGAGTAATGAGATGAGCATTAATTNCTAATAAGGCTGGAATAGCAAATTAAAGTGAAATGAGTAATGAGATGAGCATTAATTTCTTAATTTATATCCAATTACTTTTAAATACATCGTTTGTGTTCTACTTAAGAACAAAAAAATTTCCCCAAAAAGGAATAAGGAGAGTTTTTCAACTGTAAATTTTTGAATTTGATATACAACATTTAGCCGTTNTTTCTTAATTTATATCCAATTACTTTTAAATACATCGTTTGTGTTCTACTTAAGAACAAAAAAATTTCCCCAAAAAGGAATAACCGTTACTTAACACACAGTTTAAGGAGAGTTTTTCAACTGTAAATTTTTGAATTTGATATACAACATTTAGCCGTCACAATTTCATTATTCTTATAAATAAACGTCATTATTATTATGAAATATCTAGTGATGAGGCATAATTATTTTTATTGGATAAAAATAAAATGTTCAAATTATTTATGAGAACCATATTTCGTTGTTATAATAACATAATTCATCTTTGAAATAAATATATATTTTTTACAGTTACGCTGAACAAACATGACACGGTAACATTATATTTGATTAAATCATTAACTAGTACGATACTGATAAATCCGCTTACATTATAATAGATGGGAAACGCTACAAGATATATAGACTGCGATAATATCCATTTAAATGGGATTTCAAACGTTGTAATAAACCCTTTGACCTGTAACTCTTGACTCAATCATCGTAGTTTCATTAAATTTTAATGATGACTATAATGTTGAATAGCCAAATGACATTTCATGCTTTGAGAAATTTAATAACAGATTTGGCGGCAACGTGACAGTACGACGTTGTGCGGAAACCGGAAATTACTGACGAACGTATCGAGATGGACGTTGTGATGTTTCGGAAATATATTTCTTGTCAGACCGACACAAAGCACGCGAAGAATTTTCGGTGATTAAATATTGCAATTACCCGTTGCGAATGGAAAGACTAAAGACGAGCAAAAACCTTTTTAAATGGCCGCAAAGTTTTATCTGACGTAATTATGAGATGTAAAACAAAAGAGTGACAGAAAACCAAATAGTATTGCAGCGAAACAAAAACACAGATGTTTCACAAAGGGTTCTTAACCCACAAAAGCCGTACGGACCGAGTATTTCATTTCAGACAAGCAAACAGAGCGTTCATAAATTATTTAACGTTCGCGTGTAGCCTAAAAGCGACGACGATTGTGTAAAACATCGTGCTGGGATAAAAATTAATTAAATAATAATGTAGTCTTTAATTGTCATTTATATAAATAGGTTTTTATTGAAACAGTTACAAATAAGAAATTATCTTTACGTTCATTATCGAAAAACACACATCATCGTTGCTGCAATTTGCTATAACATGACATTAAACGAGTAACGTCAAGTTAATTATCATTTCAACTTTCTATTCCGACTCCTACACATGTAATATAACCGCAGAAAATTTTTATTTATATTACACTATTGTGCTACAGCGAACAGTATTAATATTATGTATCAACCACATGGGTAATTATATTACACGCAGGTGAGATACAAAATCTGGTCAAGCTATAAAAAATAGTTAAAGCGATTTTTAAACGATATGGCACTGTAATTAAAAAAAGTTAAAGAATAGCATCTAGTCGAAGCTGTTTTTCCTACCTATGTGTTTTATTGGGTGTTCAATTATCTAGCAACGACAGGCTACCACCAGACATTAAAAACCTATTTATTATCGCATAACAAACATACTACCTGCTTTAGGTTTATGGTTCGCCAACGCCGTGTGTACGTGGTGGTCACATAAAATAATGCATAAAAATTGGATGCAATGGCGATAAAAACTTATATTTATATTAGGCTTATCGAAACACACTTGTTCTACGATTGACCGAAGGAACTTGCAGTATGACATGAAATGACCAGGATACGAGCAAGAAGTGAATGCTGACACAACGATTTATCCCCTTTTTCGGTGAAAATGCAAATATATCGAATTTCTGTTTAATTATATTTTCTATACAACCAACGAAAATAATAAATGCTCTCATAAATGTACAACATTTTATAACTGAAAAATAAAAAGTCGATTTCGAAGGCCGTATTGTTCAGTTGGCTTTATTGCTAAAACTTGAAATTCATTTTTATAACTGTGGTTTGAAAGAATGTAAATTATTTTTAGAGTCGGCCCGTTTAATATTAAATACAACATAACGACAGGGTCAATTAAATTACTAGAATTTTTATGTTCGTGCATCGTCACTCGAGAGAAAAAATATGTTTATTGGTCGGTCGATAGGATTTGCACGTGAACCCGTTGGGGAAATTAGCATCGGCTGCAGTGGGCGATTAGCGATTCCTTTAAATATTCGATTATTTATTTATGGAGGGCTTTTAATTTATTCCTTCAGTTTGTCTGACGAGTATTTTATTGCTCGTGTTATTGAAGACGCTACACGACGTCAATATATGCCGCAGATGATAATTATTATTATGTCTGGTAAAACGGATGCCATTGACGGGACCGTGAGCAATAGCAAATTATCTGTAATAACAAATTGAATTTTTATTTTGCTCATTGTGGTCGACTTGAACCACTTTCACATACGCGTACTCGCAGTTGCTTTACTATTTACTATATACTGTGTTATTGTTTCGTCGTTCGGGAGAGGAAAGCGTGCTCGAATAGGATATCCTCGACGTGGAGTGGAAAGCCGATGTTTACAAAGGCGTACGTTATATTATTATTTTATCCGTAAAGGGAAACAGATGCTGGATTGTCTGATTGGGCCCGTGCCAAAACGCACTCGGATGGATCCCGTGAGAAAAGCAAATAAACCTGTGACGTGCCAGAACGATTCCTAAAACAATTTGTGACACGATTACCGACAGGAACACGCGTTCGCTAAACAGTCGATTGCGTGCTTAGTTTTGGTAATTCGTACAGCAGTTGTAATTAAGCAAAAATACTATCGATCGGGTTAACGATATATTTTGCATTTATTGCCAACACACATTTCAACGTTCGCAAGCACCTCTGGGCAGAGGAAATTCTGCGGTGGAAACCGTTCGACGTTATTATAATTAGATGAACTCCTCGAGATGTACCGGGTACATTAAACAAAAATATTTATTTATTTTGATTTTTAATTTTCAATTTTTAAAATATGGCTTGAGGCAGACTGGAAAGATAAAATTTCAAATACATTATTCATGCATTTGAGTGAATCGTAATCTGATTTAAATAACAACCCCGCGTGGTAATGACAACCAAATTTATACAGGTTGCCGTCAGGAGACAAACTAAATTTGATTTTCCACTCAGATATAAAATTTTTATACCAACGGTAACCTTTTTTCTAAATAGATCTAAGAACGCGACCGAGTTTCAATGAGTTATTCATGGATGATCGAGCACGTTTTGTGAAAATATCAGTAAAAAGGAAGTGTAATACTACGACCCCTCTCTTCACGAAAATGACACTTGGAACAAAAATTAATATACATTGTATACACCTCCTACTTGTGTCATAAATATAATGGACTTGTAATAAAAACGATGAGAGATAAATCACACAATGTAACAGACTAAAAAAATAATAATAGTACTTCTTGACGTTTTGGAGATTGTGAAAATTCAAAGACTAAAAACTCAATGAACGATACAATTAGGAAAAATAGTCATTATTAGTATATATTTTTTAAAGCTTAGCGCAAAGTTTTTATT